TTTTTTTTTTTTTTTTTTTTTTTTTTTTTTTTTTTTTTGTGGACCATTTCTCGATTTATGTGTGTCATCCTTGCACAGGGGCCATGCTAATCTTCTCTGTATCATTCAATTTTAATGGCTGTCCTGAAGGACAGTAGCCCCTAACATTATTTACTGTACTCCACTGAGTTCAATCCCTTATGTGTACAGAATATATTACTATGACAATATATACACACACGTGTGTGCACAGAATATATTGCAATATATACACATGGGCAGTTCTGTTTGACGATATCTACACGTCGTACATGCGGCGCATCACGATGCGCTGCACTGCGCATCGCGCACGATGCGCGCACACTGCATGCGGCGCACCTCTAAAAACGGGGGTCGAAAAAAGAAGAAAAAAAAAGTTGTGAGGGGCGGTAGTAGACCCGGCCGCCTGATCGCGTAAAATAAGAAACGGGCAGCCAAATTTTTTTTGGAGGCCGCGCGTTGGCCTGAAAGCTTTTAGTAAAATCTGTAGTCCGTGTAACACTGTGGGTGTATGGTAGGGTTCTTGCAGTCTGTATGGTAGTGTTCTTGCAGGCCAGATTCAATCATGATGAGGGTCGCGATCTCTCAAAACGTTCGCTTCTTATTACTTCTGAAGTAGAAAACGACGGAACTGACAGCCGTTTTTCCTGGAGTTTTTTGCTAATAATAAAAAGAAAAGAACGTAAAGGAAGAAAATTAGAATGACTTACCTGTTGCCAGAATCCCTCAGAAGAGGCCCCAACTGTGAGAAAAGAGAATGAATCTTCAGCTAGAACATGGAAAGATACATCGCCCTCGGTTTTCTCTTTCGCACACCCGCGCACATGCGCATGAGGTGTGGGTGAGCGCATCCCGCACGGCGCACCGCACCGGTGCGCCGCAAGTATGATACACGTGTGTGTGTACAGAATATATTACTACACAGCTACAGACGCTGTTGCACTCGGCTGTAGCCGCCATCGTCTCTGTCACAATCACTACAATGACATGGTTTCTGCATCCATGTGTGTCGAGGATTGTCCCTCTGTTCCTCACTGCAGGCACCCTCCGCATCCGGACACACTATGTCCATTTCGCGGCCATGGGTGCTATACTGAATGCGTGGTCTTTTGTGGTGCGTGTTCTTCCTTCGTTTTGGCCTGCACTCGACATGCCATTTGTCGGGTGTTTGGTGGCCATGCTTAATGCCAGCTGTCGTGGCAATTGTTGTGCTGAGAATGCTCAGCTAGGCCTTCCATGTGGCCATCCACCTCATCCTTACAATGTGTGTGTCCTCTCTGTCGGAAAGACTCATTCTTGAGGCTTTTCTTATCCTCTCCTGTGCCTTCATCTTTTTCATTCCATGCTCCGCACTTTCCCTTACTTCCCCTTTTTTTTCTCTCTTTGTCTTCTCTTCATCTCTCTTCCCTGTGTTTATCACCTCCTCCTTTGTTCTGCCTCTTTCTCAGCATACCAGTGGGCCGTTATGGCACACGGGGATGCGGGCAGCTCGCACTCAGCTTCATCAACGTGGCGAGCCTTGTAAGTGAGAGGCACGGTGAACGGGGAGTTAAGAGAAGAATGAGGAAAATGAATGGTTTCAGTGTGCCCGTCATCTTTGTCTTGTTTTTTAATCTTTACCGTTTGTTTTGCTAAGTGCACTCTTTTAGTTCATAGTTATGTGACAATATATACACACGTGTCTGTGAATCATTCTGCCATCTGGCAGGTAAACAATGCTGCAGTTAAAGCAGTTTGCTTGTATGTTAGTACTGTTTGTGAATTCGCCTTTCCGATTACAATCTGATATACTGTTAGCATTTGTTGTTGGATGCCTTATTCTGTTCATCTGATTGCATCTGGGTTCGAACCTAGGTCTGTATTTCAAGAGTTCATGGGTGCAACTGAGTTGGACATGTTTGCTGCTCAACCATTGTCTTTATTTTTATCATATGTGTGTGAACTGTGACGTGTCGTGCAACAGATCCATGAGCTTGAGCTAATGATGAAGGCCGGCAATCTCAACCAGGACGACAATGTGAGCATGGAGGATTTTGTCGAAATCATTAACACTGCCGACCCTGGCATAACAGACCCTATGATAGTCAGAATGTACAAAGAGGCACTGATGATGCTCCAGTCCCAAGTCAAGAAGATCACTCCAGGAGCACTTGCGATGATTGCGCATGCACACGGAATAACCGCCTCATCACAAACTACGTTCAAGGTGCTCGCAAGGACATGGGAAAAGGTACGAAGTTACAAACCCTTACTACAAAGCCACAAACTTACAGAGCTTGGCCTAGACGTTGATATGCGGAAAGTGATTCACCGCCTCACAGCTTAAGATTTTTGTGACAAATCGGGGAACCCTAAATTTAACTTCTTTTATTTCCAATACAAAACACCCAAAGTTGTGGGCCAGAAATGGTGCTCTTTCTTTTAGCGACTGGCACAAGTATAGAGATAGGAAGGTGAACGCAAGGCCTGGATGGTCAAATGGAACAGGCCGGTAGGTTGGCGGGGGGCGAGGGGAAGGGGATATATCTTTATCTCTATCTATCTAGAGAGAGAGAGAGAGAGAGAGAGAGAGAGAGAGAGAGAGAGAGAGAGAGAGAGAGAGAGAGAGTATAGCAGAAAAGAGATATTCATGTATAACAAAATGGAGGCATTCATTTTAAGAAAGCGGTCATGAAGGAGTAGGAGTAGGAAGTAGTTGAAAAAGGGGAGGCACAGAATGGGAGGAGATGAAGGACAGGAAGAAAGCAGGGAGTAAAAAGGTGGGGAATAGGATGACAATCGTGATGATAATGATAGTGATGACAGTGATGATGATGATAGTGATGACCGTGAGGATGATGGGGAATAGGATGACAACCGTGAGGATGATGATAGTGATGACCGTGATGATGATGATGATGATGATGATGATGATGATGGTGATGATGAAGAGGAGGAGGAGGAGGAGGAAAAAGGGGGGAGGGGAGAGGAGGAAGGAAGAAGGAGCGAGGAGGAGGAGGAGTGTGCAGGAAGCTGGAGGAGAGATGGCAAGTAGCTGGCGAGGTGAATTCATTCTTAAGTACTGGGATAGTAAAAAGGACCTAAAAGGCATGACAGGAAAACCCTCAATAGGGGCTTGTGTCCGATGGTAAGGAGGGGGGTTATGACCTTTCTTTGGAGGGTGATAAGCCTCCTACCGAAGCGGCCGCGAGTACCCTGTTTTTAGGGGTACAAGCCGCATTGATTGGAAAGCAGCTTATAACAGGGGGTGCGCAGTGCGCGGTGCGCTGCGCGTGTCTGGTGTGCTGCGCGCATGTGCGCAATGTATATTTCCATGTTCTAGCGGTAGATTCATTTGATTTTGTTCTCTCTCTCTCTCTCTCTCTCTCTCTCTCTCTCTCTCTCTCTCTCTCTCTC